ATGAAAAAAATGTCCAGAACAACAATCTTCTTTTTTCCTTTTTTTTTTTTTTTTGCATTTCTTTTTTAATTTTTTTTTATTTAATAACCACATGATTAGAAGAAGCATTTCATTACAGCTTTAACATATTCAGTAACACATTCCTGAGCAAGGATACATCTCTTTCAAAAGTGGCTGTGAATTTTTAGGTTCACTGTTGAATTAATACAGTGACACAATATTGAACTCAGTATAAACCCTGTAAGACAAAAATTGAATGAGTTTTTGAGGAGGAAGCATAAAAATGTACTTCATGTTAAAGAGTAGAGGTTATAGACGTTACCAGTGAAATCTACCTCATGACTATATCCCTACTCAGCTACTAAGGATCCGAGTGTAACCAGCTGTGACTAATAATAATCAGATATATAGAGATTAAAGACACATGTGCAGACATCTAAGCGTTAGTAGCATTAAAAATGTAGGAAACAGCATATTTTAAAATGAAATGGAGATCTTCTTTAAAGGGTAAAACCAATCTTCTTTTAATAACTTTTATTAAATTTATTATTTGACAATTTCACACATGTAAATGATGTGTTCTGAATACTGTAACATTCTTCTGGCTCTCATCTCCCTCCCACACTGCATGAATAGGCGAACTTACTCCATGCAGACAAAATGCTTATACACATAAAATAAAAGGCATGGTAAATTTTTTTTTAATTTTTTTTTTTATTTTATGTCTATGAGTGTATTTCCTGCATGTATGTGAATGCATCCATGTCGTGCAATGCCGTGGAGATCAGAAGAGGGCTTCGGATTCCCTGGAACTGAAGTTAAGGATGGTTAGTAGCCGCCATGTGGGTGCTGGGAATCGGACGTGCTGGGAATCGAACCCAGGTCCTCTGCAAGAGTAGTCAGTACTCTTAACCTCTGAACCATCTCTCCAGCCCCAATAAAAAAAGTTTCTTGAAAAAAATTTCAATTCTTCTAATATGAAATGGTGTGAAAAATAAGTGTGATAGTTGGTTTAAATTAGAATTATCTGAGTCAGGAGCCTCAGTTGAGGAATTGTCTTAATTTGTGGGTGGCACCTTCTAGTAGCACCCCAGATATAGAAGTTACATGGCAGAAGGAAGAGTAGTCACCATTTGCTTGCTGGGCCTTCCGTCTCACTGTTAATTTATCCTGTTGCACCTGCTACTTCTGACTCCTAATAACAGACCAGTGTTTCCAGGTTTCCATCCTTGACCGAGGACCAGTCTACCTAAAGGAACCCTACATGTTTTCAGTTCCAGGTGGAAGCTGCTGAGGTACCCAACACCATGGACTGAGAACCTGCTGGGTTCTCTGCGTTTTCAGTATGAGACAGCCACTGTGGGATGACTCCTGCTGCAGAGGCATCACTCAGCCTCAAGGACCAAGCAACTACCCATTCTCAGCCGCTCAGGTGCAATTCACTTGTAAACATTTAACAGTAAGCTGATTTGATAAACCCTTTATATCAGTTCTGTCCCTCTGCAGAACTATGAATAACACAGTAAGATACATATTTCATTTCTAGTTCATCTGAATTACCAAGGAATCTTTGTAGGAATTTTTGTGATTTATAAAATAAACAATTAATTTATTAACACTGATTTCAAATATAACTTAATTCTTATTAAAATGAAAATAAAAATCCTTAGTGTACCAACACTAATTTTTTATTTATTAGAGAGAATACATGTACAATGTATACAATGTTGGAGAAGAAGGTTGATAACGTAGACAGACCGTAATGACTGCACTCTGTGCATGTGATAGAGAGGTTTTAGAAATACAACTCTAAATCTGAGCTCCCTAGAGAGGTGACTTTCCCTGGGGTCCCCAGTCAAATGCATAAAAACCTCGGCTCTCTCTAACATCCAGTCCTCTGTGAATCGTATAAGTCTAAGGTATGAGAAGATTGGAAGCAGGTAAGTCACTTACTGATGTGGAATCGTTTTGTGGCTGAAACAGATGTGTCCTAGTCAGAACAGGGCTCTAGACCTAAGGTAGGTGAATGGGAACACAAGAACCTTTGTCTCAAGCAAAATAGACAGAGAAAGGTCTAGAGTCATAACTGTAAGAGACTCTAGAGCGAGCAGACAGTGCCAACAGGAAAGGAGAATGAAGGGCCATAGAAGCCTTTTCTTTCTCACACACCACAGACCTCTGATTTGTTCATAAGATTTGCTTTGGTCTCGGGTCCTTACTACTGTAAATGTCCTGCCTCTTCTGTTCTCTCATTCAGCATTTTCACATGCTAGAATCTGAAAGTACAGAAAGAAAAACAAATTTCAGAAGTCACTATCATCCAAAAGAGGAATTTTCATAAGAAATTTCATTCATTCTAAAATGAGTCAAGACTTTTCCTTTTTGTTATTCCTAAGTTTGCCAACCATCAGCTCCAGAAGCTAGGCCTTTTCTAGTTCCTCTTTTACTAATTCAAAATTACTTGGCTTTGGGGAATGGAAAGATGGCTCAGAGGTCAGGAGCAATCACTGCTCTTACAGAGGACCTCGGTTCACTCCCAGCACCCACAATGGCAGCTAACTACTGTTCATAGCTCCAGTTCCAGGCATCCGAAGCCTTATTCTGACCCCTATGAATACTGAATGACATGAGTGTACTTACGCACCAGCAGGCAATACGCTCATACACATAAATTTAAAATAATAAATAAAATATTTTTTTAAAAAGAATTACTTGGCTTTATCTGTATCTCCTTCTCCTGCTGTTTCTGTTCAGGAGTGTGGTGTACATTTCTGACCTTCAGCCCCTCTTTTATTTCCATACCTGTTTAGATTTCTGCCACCACATCAAGAAGGATGGCATCCTTCAGGGAGCATGTAATTTCACTATGTGCCATAGACTGACCTTGGCAACTGATGTTCAAAAAAGGACATGTGCAAAATCATCCGTCCAAAACTCCTGACCCAGAACTTGCCTCTCCCAACTTTCTGACATGTAACTTAAAGCCACTATGGCTTCATCCTTCACTCAGAATGATAGCTAGAAAGGGGAAAAAGGAAATAATTCATAATCATGTGTACAGTATACACTAGGCAGCATTGAGCATGACCAGATCAACACAGAGAGCACAACAGAAGTACATCCATGTTTTCTCATCTACAGATTCCCTAAATATCTCAAAACCTCTGAATTTCTCACTTTCTGGGCACTGTACCAAACACATTTCCTGAGAATGAGTTTGAGAAGATCGAGTTTAACACAAAATCCAACTGGGTTCAGTAAAGCACAGGCTCTTGAATAGAACCCCTCATACTTGACACGTTGACATTTTGGGAATATTGATCTTCCGTGGCCTGTATATACTGGATGACAGGACAGACCACACCCCCACGTCAGAACCAGAATGCCTCCAGGAATTTCTAGTGGTCCTTTAGGGAGCAATTTCAGCACCATTTGAAAACCACTAACCCAGAGTTCGACTTGGAAGTGAAAAAGCGTTCATTTCAATATGCTGTTTCTTGCAGCTCTGTGAGGAAAGTCTGGAGGCTTGACCAGGGGGTTTCTTGTGTATTTTCTAAGCCTGAGTTGGCTTGAGTCGTTTGGACCTGGGGTGACTTTTCACATTTACTTATGCCTGAGCACCTTTGCCTGGTTCCTTGAAAAAGAAAGCCTTCCTCAAGGTCTAAGTCTTCATTGTCTAGGGAAGAACAATTCTTTTGTGGCTTTTCCAGAGTTTTCTTACCTGTGGGAAAGGGCATAGAAAAGGGAACAAAATATGGAGAATTGCTGGCATTTCAATTACAACTTATTTCTGAACAGTGTGGTATTGAACATGTTCCTTATGAAGCTGGACTGTGGCCGCCTCCTCAGGGGCTCCCCTCAGCCTCTTACCCTTACCACAAGGCTTGACAATTTTTCTCATTTCTCTTTCCCTCAACTAATTTCACAGATCACAAAATGATGTGTTCTGCACCTGGAGAAACTTTAAATCCACACTGTGTTCCTCACCTCCCATGGCAATTTCTACAGCCCTCAGCTTCTTCAGAAAAACTAAAGATGGCAACATCTCCTCTCCTCAGTCTTTACAAGAATAAAGGAGGTACTATAGGGAACGGGTCAAATTGAAATCAATAATTTTAGAAGTTGTTTTATTAATGTGGTTTCACTGGTAACTCCTTATCTAATTCTACTACCAAAAAAATATCACATGTTCTTTGATGTTACTTCTCTCTTCTAATCCATTTTCCAACCATTTCCATTCAAGCCCACCTAATTCTCTCCAACTTAAAAAGAAACTTACAACTAATACTGACTGATTTTTTTCTTCTCGGGATATTGTATTAGTCCTCAATTTATAAACAGCAAATATACCTGCCTCTATCTGTATACCATTGCGTCATATATATGTTCTCACAAGTACACAAGACTGGGACCTGTTTTAAATGCACTAAATATTTTCAAAACAGTCGTCTTTAATTCCTAAATGAATCCACAACATTCTCCACCAAATTTACTACCATCAAATCATATCATAGGGCTAAGTAGACAAATTTCTCTTGCCTTTGTGATCTCATGGACTTCTTTCTGTACAGTAGAGTGTAGAGTCCATTTAGTACATTATTTTAGTTATCTGTGTAAAACACTGTCTCATGCCAGGCGTGGTGGTGCACGCCTTTAATCCCAGCACTCGGGAGGCAGAGGCAGGCAAATCTCTGTGAGTTCAAGGCCGGCCTGGTCTATGTAGTAAGTTCCAGGACAGCTGGGGCTACAGGGAGACCCTGTCTCAAAAAGACCAAAAAAAAAAAAAACCACTGTCTGGCCATATTTCCCATCTTTCCAAAGAAGCAAATAAAACCTACTTCATCTTTTCTTCTGATGTAGTTCCAGGTACACCAGCTGTGAAAAATAATCAGACAAGTGACATAAGACTCTGGTGACATAAACAAAAATCTTCAAATACATTATAAGATTTCAGCTCCATTGAAAACAGGAAGTGAGGTTCCAGGACGTCTGCCTCAAGCATGGATACCATAAACCACACAGGTATTCGTTACACAGTCTTCCACTTGCTGGGCATCCCTGGCCTAGAGGACCAGCACATGTGGATTTCCATCCCCTTCTTCATTTCCTATGTCACTGCCCTGCTTGGGAACAGCCTGCTCATCTTCATCATCATCACAAGGCCTAGTCTCCATGGACCCATGTACCTCTTCCTCTGCATGCTGGCGGGAGCAGACCTTGTTCTCTCCACAACCACAGTTCCTCAGGCCTTGGCCATCTTCTGGTTCCATGCTGGGGAGATCTCCCTGGATCGCTCCATCACTCAGGTCTTCTTCATTCTCTCCACCTACATCTGTGAGTCAGGGACCTTGCTGGTGATGGCTTTTGACCGTTATATTGCCATTTGCTACCCACTGAGGTACACCACTATTCTTACAAACTCCCTGATTGGAAAAATCGGAGTGACTATCATTTTGAGAAGTTGTAGTACAATTTTCCCCATAATATTTCTTCTGAAAAGACTAACATTTTGCAGAACCAACATTATTCCACACACTGCTTGTGAGCACATTGGCTTGGCCAAGTATGCTTGCAATGACATTCAAGTCAATGTCTGGTATGGATTTTCTGTCCTAATGGCAGCAGTGGTCTTAGATGTTGTTTTAATATTTATTTCCTACATGCGTATCCTCCACTCTATCTTCCACCTCCCAACCCAAGATGCTCGCCACAAGGCTCTCAATACCTGTGGGTCCCACGTCTGTGTCATCATCCTCTTTTATGGGCCTGGGATCTTCTCAGCCCTAACTCACCGATTTGGATGCCACATTTTACCCCATATCCATGTCCTTCTGGTCAATGTCTGCATTTTGGCTCCACCAGTGCTGAATCCCATCATTTATGGGATCAAGACAAAACAAATCCGAGACCAAGTAACTTATAACTTGTTTCCAAAAATAACATGACTTTGAGAACAAATCCAAACTATTGTTTTCTCAACATTCTAGCCACACAGAGGGAGAATTCAGTAGCCCTTGTTGGTAAGGAACACAGAGATAAATGTCCCAACGACTCTGTTTCCAGATCAATTCCACGACAGCTGATTGGTGGTATGCCCTTCAAGGTCACAGATCAGTAATAAGAGATCTATGTCTTTGGAGATCAATGAGTTTTCTCATTTAAAGTCCAAAAAATGCATTCATCTTTGACTTTCATTTCTACTCTCTAACCCTAGATAGAATTTTAGGAAGAACTATGGATGCCCGTGACACTGTCCTCACGCCACAATGATTACTATTCCTCTTGTCTGTTTGGAGCATTGCTGTGTGTTCATCCCACCATCCTCCTCTAATGCAAAATTCTATTTCATCTTCAGATATCTTGTTATCCTCTTCAAAATAAGGAATGGAAAAGAGAGAAAAACCAATGGCATTCCCAATCCTGTAGCATATTCTCCCCCCCCATTCTCCCTCTCCACTTCTTCCCTCTCCCTTTTCCCCCTCTTGTTTTCTCTTCATTAAAACAAAACATCTGGAAATAGTTGCACATACATCTGCATTCAGTCATCCAATATCTTTCTCCCTAGTGATTTTACTCCAGTCACCATTGACAATGTGTCACTGGATCTATTACATGCTTAATTCCATGGTCAATATACATGGCCAATATGAAGTAGCAACAGAATTTGACACAGTCAAGCAACTCCTGATCTTGAAAATCCTCATTCATCCCATGTTAAGTGATACAGTAGAAATAAAAATAATTACCAAGATTGATTGTCTACGTCTTCTATAGATATATTCACTACTAAGATCTTACACATGACTATTTCCTGTTGTATATGTATGTAAAGAGAAATTTCACTTTTAAGTTAGATTATATTCTGCCCACTCTCCTAGAATGCAGCTTTCTCAGAGAATTATGTGGATTTTTTTCTCATGGTAAAAATACAGAACTCTGTGAGCATTTTTAATTTCTCCTACAAGACACTGCATACATTTGGTGTTAATCATTATTTCATTCTTTTGTAAAATAATCTAGCTAAGCTATCTGAGCCTGAAATTTTAGTTTCTGGATTTTCATTAATATTTACTTTCTGTGTTTTTTAACATGCACTAATCATAGATTTTAAAGTGTTCAGTGTGATATTTCAGTGCATACATGCAGCATGCAGTGCTCAGATCAGTATATTTTTCTACCTCTTCTTTACTACCTGTAGTGATCCCATTCTGCCTCAGGGTGACTCTCACACAGGAGAGGAGACCACACAGCTCTGGGCCTTCTGTGTCTGACTATTTTTCTTACCATGTCTTCCAGTCTCACCATGTTGCTACAGATGACAAGATCCACTCTCTTCATAGCTTACTAAGAGTTTATTATGTTATCTACCATATTTTATTCATCCATTCACTCATGGACACCTAGATTGATCACATCTTGGTGTTGTGAATTTGCCACAATAAATGGTTCTGCAGGCTTCCCCTGTGGTCTGCTGATTGCATTTAGCTTTTGGTCATATACCCAGAAGTGACATAGCTTGAACATAGGATAGATTGATTTTAAGTTTTTTGATTAATTTCCACGCTGTTGTCAAAAATGGCTATACTAATTAACAGGCCCATCAGCAGTGCCTGAGAATTCTTTTTCTATTATCCTAACAAGCAGTTTTTGTTTTCAGCAATAGCCTTTCTAACAGAAGTGAATTGATATCTCACTGTAGTTTTGATGTACATTTCCTTCACGAAATCATATTGATCATATTTTCATATATTTGTAGGATGGACATTTGTATTTATTTGGGGGGGTTGTCTATATATTTTTGCCCATTTTCTAACTGGATTATTAGGTGGACTCTGAAGTTTCCCTATCTTTGATATTATGAGGAATACTGTAGTAAACAAGTGAATTCAGATATCTCTTTGAAGTGGTATTGATGGATATATGTCAAGCCCACAGCTAAAATCATATTTGGTTAAAGTCATGTTTGGTAGTAGAATACTAAAAGCTTTTCCACTAAAATCAGGAATGAGACAGGGGTGCTCATCCACAAAACTTTGTTCACCATAGCACTGGAAATCTTAGCCACAGCAATTAGACAAGAAAAAATAAATTAAATACACCCAAATAGAAAAGTAAGACATTAAATACCGTCAGTTTACAGGTGACATCATCCTATATACAAAAAACTGAAAACAGCACCAAAACTTTTTATAACTGATTAAACAGTTTGAGAACAGTTACAGGGCATAAAACATACAAAATTTAATAGCATTTCTGTATATTAGCAATAAACATTCTGAAAAACAAATCAAGAAAACAATCTCAGTTAAACTAGTATCAATGATGGGGCTGGACAGATGGCCCAGTGGTTAAGAACTATTGCCTCTTGAGCAGAGAACTTGAGTTTGTTTGTCAGGATTCATGTCCGGAGCTGGCAACCACCTGTACCTCCAGCTGCAGGAGATCTAACATTTCTTCTGGCCTCCTGGAGTACCTAAACATGTGGTATGCACACACACAAACACACACATACAGAGAGAGAGAGAGAGAGAGAGAGAAATAAAAATAATAATTTCCTTAAACAGTACTTGCATCAAAGAGAATAAATTTCTCAGAAGTAAATTTAACCAGGAAGTTGAAATACTTTTCCACTGAAAACTATAAGTCATTAACAAAAGAAATTTGAGAAGACAAATCAATGGAAAACATGGATATACCACATCTGTGCAGTGGAAGAAATGGCATTGCTAAACATCCATATACTTCAGAGCAAGCTTTATCAGATTTCTGTTATTTTTTAACAGAAATGCAAGAAACAGTCCTAAAATTAGTAGAACCACCAAAAATATAGACAAAGAAATCTTGAGCAACTATCAACAAAAATACAGACATCGCTGAAATGGCAGCATTGAGTCCATTTGGTTGTAGCTGATTTTGCTTTACCTGGTGTTTCTACCCAGCTACTCCCACTGCAGCCAGACAGCCATGAAAGCTGTACCTGTAATTTCAGGGGGTGTATTGCTTCTATAACACTGGGAAAGTCCCAACTAGCCAGGTAGCATGTCCACTTACACAGCCAGACCTGTATCTCCATGGAGCCCATTTTTTTCTGCAATACTGAGAAACTTGTTTTTCCTAACCAAAACTTTTAACTAAAAACCTCTTTGTTAACTGACTGTTAGGGTTCGTGACTCAGTGGGTCTTTTCAGGAGAACAAATGCACGCGTATGGAGATGCAAAAATCAAGCAGAGTTTTATTAAACCAGCTAGCTGGGGCTGACTGTCCTTCCAAGACACGCAGGTCTGGTTAGAGCGATCAACCAACCGTTACACAAAAGCCCGCGTTTATACAACAAATAGTTTTAAAGCAAGCATTTCACAAACCAATAACTAAGAAAAATGTTACAACTCCCTTCAGGTGTCCCAATCGGGGAGGGATGGGTGGTATGTGCCTGGCACAGCCCTTCCCTGTTATCTTGTGTAAGCAGACATGCCTACGTGACACGACACAGATCAGACAGGTCAGGCTCTGGGGGCTGCAGCACTTGCCCCTATCTCCAGATGCCTGTGTCTCCAGTTGAGTTAATTGGTTACAAGCAGTAAATTCAAACAAGTAAATTCAAGCAGTAAATTCAGACAAGCAGTAAATTCCTCTTTCCCTAACACTGACCAACCCCTGCTCTGGTATAACCATGGTGATCTAATGTAACTGGTTATTGACTTATCCCTGGCATGATATAAATGTGGTTTTAAGCTTTATAAACCCAACTCTGCCTCCCCTCAGGGTCAGAAGTTCTTTGGGGCATTAACTCCCTCTCAAATGCCAGCTAATAAAGGACTCTTGATTTGACCCAAAATTGTGTGGTATTTCTCTGAGGGTATTTTATTTGCAGTCCCCCTAGCATGAAACACACAAATTTAATAGCGGCTCAGTCTTGCTCTGGATCTCCCCAACTCAATGAATTGTAACAGGGAGAGTGGCCCCTGATGTGTTACCCCCATGATTGCTGTATGACTCCATACCAAAACTGATCATGTATGTAAGTGCACCTGTGCCCTTCAGTCCACAAAGAGGATAGGAGTGGATGTGGGATCCCCTGAACTGGAGTTACAGACAGGTACTAACAGCCATATGGGTAATGGAAACCGAACTTCATTCCTCTGCAAGAGCAGACAGTGCACTTAACTGCTGAGTCATCTCTCCAGCCCCCAGGTATTGTGTCCAATATCTCCCTGACTGGTGTGGGTGGGTGGATGTTGCTTGTTTCCTTGCTTGTTTGTTTTGTGGTTTGGGGCTCTTATTTAGAACCTTTTATCAGGTGAGGGCTCTACCCCTGAACTACCCCCCACCAAATAATTGTTAGTCATCTTTATGGAAGAAATAGTTGTAAAAGAAAGAAAGACATACAAATATATATAAAAAAAAAAACAATGGTTTGTGAATTGTTATAAAACAGATATGAAACCAACCAAGAAGGCTAAGATTATCAGCAACACCTGAGCAGTGTGCCTTGCCTAGTCCCAGGCACATGACTTTTGAGCAGGGGGATATTGGCTTGTGTAGTTAACATTTATGTTCAAATCTTAATATAGTTTGGGTCCAAAGACTGCCATGTTTTCATCTTCATCAACCATATGCATCTCCCTTTGACTCTTTGTCTTAACAAATGTCCTAACTAATTTATCAAGCAACAACTGAGTGTAAATTTCAGAAATTTAAGCTTTATTTTATCCTCCTTAGCATAGACAGTTCGTTATTGGGGGGGTTGTCACAATTTCCACTATAATATCCCTTCCACCTACTAAAAAAAAAAAAAAAAACCTTAATAAAAAAACAAAAAACGGTGCCAGCATCTTTCCTGGGTAAGTCTTTGGTGCCTACTGCCTTGACTCCCCCAGCCACATTGACCCTCCCAGCTCCCCGACCCCATCTCTCCTCCTACCCTGAGTACTGGCCCATTTCTTG